TCAAGCCATCCAGGTATAGGACTCAGAACGAGCAACTGGCCTGTGGGATCCAGCTGCCTTAACCACCAGGCATCGGCTGATCCAAGAGTCTAATACCATTAAGGAGAGCAATGTAATCGTATCTTTCTATATTCTCACACTATGAAACAATACTAAGAAGAAAAAAAAAAGCTTTCTTGTTTTTTTTTTAGAGAGAGATATTTTTGCTATAGGGTACATATGCTCGCTGGAGAGACAGATAGAGAAAAAGTGAAAAATCACTCCCCTGGAGGGATAGCCATACCCCAGTCCCTTCTCCTCTGTTTTCCTCTTGAGATTTTGGGCATGCATCCACATGCACCTTGCATGAGTTTTAAGCCACTGGGTTTGGGACTTGAACCAAAGTCGACTACGAAGGAGTCCAGTGATGTAACCATTCTGCCATCTGCTGGTACCAAAAGCTATATTTTTGAATGAGATATACAGCACCAAAAAAATACACAGAACTGCCTACTAATTAATCTGAATGGAGTTTTCTGAAACTTTTACTTAACAATTTTCCTGACATAATTCTTTTTAGCTTTTTAGTATCTTCATTTGTCTTTGGGTTAATATTCAATATTGGTATCTTCTACTAGACTGAGAAAGCAGTCACGCCTCAGAATCCTTATTCTCACCTACTTTGTTATACTACTCTGGGGTTATTTTATTTCCAGAATCATAGTTAGATATGATCTTCACTTTTTTTTTTAATTTTTTTTTTTTTTAGGTTTTGACCATAGAGCATGATTACTTGCCAGAGAGATACAGAGAGAGACAGAAAGAGTGAAAGTGAGAAGCCACCCCTGGGGGGATGGCCATGCTGTAATCTCTTCTACCTTCTCTTCTCTCTGTATATGTGCACTGTCCTTGGTCATTTAGTAGCCATCATAGTTATCAGATCGGCCATAGTAGTGTTACAGTGCTTGTGCTCAAGTAACCTATACTTTACTTAATAATGGCCCCAAAGTACAAGAATAGTGATAATGTCATATTATTATAATTGCTGTACTTTATTATGAGTTATTGTTGTTATGTTGCTAAATTATTACTCTTTCTAATTTAGAAATTAAACTTTATCATAGGTATGTACATATAGTAAAAAACAGTAGAAATAGTTTGATACTATCTGTGGTTTCAAGCATCCACTGAGGGTCTTAGAATTTATCTACCTTGGATAAGTGAGGACTGCTGTAATGAAAGAAAAATTCACTAAATCTTAACACTTGGAAATGCTTTGATACTTTAAGCAAGACTTCAAAAACAATGTATAATATTAAAAAAAAATTTCCAGTAAACATGTGCACATAAACAGCAGATTTTGTTGTATTTGGAAATACCTTTTAGTCAGATTCTTAAGTGTTTGTTAAAGAATAAAATTATAAATACCAGTAGAGTACTCTGGATATACATAAGGTCTATATATAAATGCAAATGAATTTATTATGTTCACACTCAGCACACAAAATCAATGAAGGGCAGCAACGCAATCTGTCTAACTGAAATCTATTTTCTGATCATAAAGTGAGATCTGAAGAATTACCATTTGTGTTCATTGCTTTTTTAAAAAAATGATATTAGACTAATGAAGCAGAATCACATATGGCATACTCATTTAATAAAATCTGGCACAATCCAAATAAAGCATAACTTTCTAGATTAGTAAAGAGCAAACTATAGCCCATAGGGTAAACCCTACCAGCCAGCCGTCTGCTTTTGTAAATAAAGTTTTACTGGGAACAGAGCCAGACTCATTCATTTAAGTTTTGTCTCTGACTGCTTTGTACTACAATAGAAAGTTGAGTAGTTCTGACAGAGACCATATGGTTCAAAATTTATACTATCTGGCCCTGTACAGAAAACTTTGCTGATCACTCTTCCATGTTTGTAACCCTTGAGTTTCAAAATTCAGAACATTGGTTATGCAAGTCTTTGTATTTCTTTAACTAGAACCGCAAACATCTCCACTAGCCTTACTCTCAGATTATAATTTAGCCATCACCTTTGATAAAAATGGCATTGCCAACAAGTGGCCCAAAGCAACACAGGTGTCTACCATAATTTCCATCAGTTCATCTACTTCTATGATATTATTGAGGGTCATGAGCATTAAAACATTGTTAGACATCACTGCTATTTTCATTGATGCTAAAAATATAAATAAAAAGAAAACATTATACTATGAATACATGGTAGTTATGGTGGGATAATTATAGATTTACTTGCAAAAACTGGAATGCTATAATGAGAAGATAGGAGGACCTTTTATTTTTAGGTTTTGCCATGGGTGTGTGTGCTTGCTGGAGAGAGACAAAGAGAGACAAAAGGAAGACAAAAAGAGAGGAAAGCGAGAAATCACCCCTGCTCCCCGCCCAGGGCGGTGGGATGGCCATGCTGCAACCCCTTCTCTTCCATTTTAGGATTTGGGGCATGGACACAAATGTGCTCAGCATGATTTTCAGGACACCTTGTCCGGGTCTGGAACCATGACTGACCACATGGGAGTCCAGTGCCTTAACCACCATGCCATCGCCTGGCCCCATGAGGGTATCTTTTGAAATTACAGACACATTTAAGGCAAATTTACAGCAATCAATTCTTTCGATATAGTAAATGATTGCAAGTGGCATACAAGCATGAACTGTTGGTGAAATTGTTGTTCTTGGCATCCTGTATCACAAATAGAGTTCTAATTGACATAAATCTAGAAAGAAAAATAAAACTGTAGGAAGTCAAGTTAAAGGCAATGAATAAATATACAAAAAGATTGGGCAAATAAAAATCAGCTATTCCAATTAAATTTGAACATCCTAAAATGACAAAATCGACGTCACTAAGTGCAACTATATATTCAAGAGTTTTCTTAGCAACAGTACTCTGGATTAGATGAGCTGTATTTCTAAGATTTGGAAATTCACAAAACAAACGAAAGGCTGGGAATTGGTGAGAGCCAAAAATATTCTTTAAACATTTTATATTTTTTAATTAATTTGATATAGTCAGTTATGTTCTTAAACCTGTACTTCTCATTCTTAATGAAACTGAATCTCAGGATGATCCTTTGGTTTGATAACTCATTTGTTGTTTAAAGCCTCTCTACAAATGTTGTTTAAAGCCTCTCTAGGCCAAATAGCTATTTAACTAATATTAATACATCCCAGAAAGGTGTAATACAGAAATCTGGATTTTGAGTTTAGAGTTTTGGGTTGGTTACAGTTCAGTTCAGCATGTTATTAGCTATGCAATTTACAACTGGTCACTCACTGTACTCATTTCTTAATATAAAAAACTAGAATAACAAAAGGCATCTCTTAAAACTGTTAAACAATTAAATGCAATACCATAATAGGAAACATTACTTAGCTTTATGCCTAGTATATAACAGTAATAATATCACTTAGCATTATGCCTAGTATATAATAGTAATAATGATCAGTAAATGTTATTTCCTTTCCAATAATCAAAGTGCATTCCTTGCCAAGACAGTTGACTTCTACTTCGTGCAGCACAGGCAATAGGTTATTAAACTGTGTGCAGCCAATCCAATACTATTAAGACAACATTCATCAGTATTTTAATGTCAGCTGCTAACTCTAGTTCACGGATTGTTTCTTAAGCAATTTGTCATTCAGAAATGCAGAATTTAACCTTCTTAGTAACCTGACATAAATATGAGTTATAATCATATTTGATGAGAAGTCTTTAATAACCTACCTGCATGATTTAAATACTCCATTGATACTTAGCAAAAACAAGAATAAGAAGTTCACCTTCTAGTGATATAGGATTGACTGGCTATGGTGATAATTTTTTAAGACTAAACATATCATTCTATTTTTATTTATAATTAATGACAAAAATGAGTACCAGAATTTTGTTGTTTTATTACAAGAACAGACTTTAATTTTATTTTTTAATGTACTTTAATACCACTTTACACAAACTTTTAAAGTACTTTATGCAACTGATTTTTGGTTCTGTTTTGTTTGTTCTGTTTTCCCCAGAGGGTCTGTGTACTCACCAGACAGAGGACGCACCCTCTTACAGGGGGTGGTCATGCCACAATCCTTTTTCCATTTCTCCAACCCTTCAGAATTTTGGGCACAAACACACAATGCACTTCGTGTGTTTTTTACCAGGGTTGAGCTCCACCTCCCTAGGCAATGCACATTACCACTGCACCACAGAACTAGCCCCAAGAACAGGATTTATAATTGCTTAATTATTTAAGTTTACAAAACAACTTCATAGAAAATTTTAATTCTTACTTAAGTTTTAAGATAGATTATAGGGAACTGAATTTGCTCATTTAAGCTATAAAATGATATCATCTGCTTTGTGATAACTGAGTATACTCTGTATATAAATTCTCTTCTCTTGCGTTAATTTACCAAACTGTGTATCTTACGTGATTCATAGTTACAAAATATTTTAGCTGCCTTACAACTTTAGAAAATAAAATAAATTCTAAGAGGTATGATTCAAATATAACACAAAGCCTTATAATTCCACAATAATGTACATTTAAACAATTTGAATTTTATTCAAGGATTTATACTTTCTAGTTCATTATCTTTTTGTTTAACTCAAACTTGCAAATCCAAAGAAAAATTTTCTTCAAACTATTAAACTTTTTTATGATTTAATAAGTTTTTTATAATAAAAATATTAAGGTCAAATTTATATTGTTATTATCAGAGCTAAAATTTCAAAATCAAATGTTAGAATGGAGAATACTCATAAAATCATAAAGAATAATTTATATTAGATGAACATACCAACTGTGTTTTCCTTCATTTTTCTTTTGTGTGGCAGGTTTCATTTGTCAACAGAAACACCACAACTGAGTTTAAATTTGTAGTGGATAAGAATTATTCTGATTCTGGCTAAATGGGTAAGGCTAGCAGATCATGGCTAACACGATTCTAAAAATGTTTACAGATGATCTAAAAAAAGAAATTAAGAGCATAAAATAAACTTACTGTTTCACCAACTTTTCCAATATTCCCTTGATCTCCTACTTCTCCCTGTTAATAAAGAGTATAAAATTGCAAATATAATTATTTTTTAAACAATATTACTCCATGACAACTCTTCTTTCATTTTTATTGTAATTATCTAGTCATAACCTAGAAAAAGGCAAATAAAATCTCAGTTATTCAAAGTACAATTATAGTATTTCTATGGAACACTTTTCTTTCCTCTGTTTTTATTCAAATAGTGGCAATCTATTTTCTTAATTTATATTCTCCTATTCATGACTTTTAATCACTTTTAAAACACAAATAAGTTTTTTAAAAAAATTCCAGAGGGCTTATGAATGTACATGAGAGAGAAAGCAAGAAAGCATCCCTCTGCAGGACCTTGCCTCGTCATGCCACAGTCCTTTTTCCTCCAGCTCTCCATCCTGTCAGGATCCTGGGGATGTCCAAGCACACCTGGCATTTAAGCCACCACAGTTTGACTCAAACCCTGTTTGGTCATGTGGGATCTGGTTTCCTTTCTATAGTATTTAAGGGTATTTAAGGGATGTTGCAATACAGGGTATTAAACAAAACTTTTATTTTTGAAGAATTATTTATTTTATTGTTATTATTTTCATTTGACCAGAAAAACAGAGAGAGAGAGAGAGAGAGAGAGCGAGGGAGTGCGAGCGCACAAGTGAGAAAGCAAGCTACCAGGTTTGGTACTCAAGCAGGGGCTGGCTATGTGGTAGTTCAGCACCTGTATCAGCACGCCACCTGCTAGCTCCTAAACAAAACTTTTTAAGAAAACTATTTATTGGGACCAGCAGTTAGTGTAATGGGTATGTCGCTAGACTCCCACGTAGTCGCCCACGGTTCGTGTCCCGGACCCGGTGGCGTAAAACTCAAGCTGGGCACATGTGCGTGCATGCCCAAGATCCTGAGAGGAGAATGGAGGAGAAGGGATTGTGGCGTGGCCATGCCCCCTGGAGGGTGATTTCTCGCTTTCTGTCTCTCTGTGTCTCTGTCTGTCTGGCAAGCGCACGCACCCTATGGCAAAAAAAAAAAACTCTCCAAAAAAAAAAAAAGAGAAAGAAAGAAAGAAAGAAAACTATTTATTGAGGTCTACTTGGTAAAATAAAGGCATAATGATGGGGCCAGCAGGTGGCATGGTGGTTGACATGTAAACTCCCACATGACTGTGTTTTGAGTCCTGGACCTGGCAGCTTGCTTTCTTACTTTCTCTCATCTCTCCAGTCAAATGAAAAAACAATGATAATAAATAAAGTTACATAAATAATTATTTTTTTAAAAAACCCTGTGTATTATAAGAGGAATAAAAGGCAGAGGGATAAGCACTGCCACTGGGTATATGTGATTGCAGAACAGAGACAGAGAGAGAGAAAGTGAGAAATTACCCCTCAAGAGGGATGGCCACACTGCAATCTCTTTCCTTTTTGTCCTGGG